ACTCCTCACAAACACTACTCAAGCTTAAGCTCTGTAGCTTATTTCTTTTTCTTCTTCTTCTATCTTCTTGATTACATAAATGAAGGCTTCATGCCCATATATAGAAATTCCTAGCCGGCATAGTCCAAGCCCACCGACTTGGCTTCTTCATTTCCAGCCACGCTTATGCAACTTTCTAGAATTAGCTATATTATTCTGATACAATATCTAGTTACTAAGTCGGTGGTATTCTCTTCACTTTTCCAGATTTTTCTATAATTATCTAGTTCTAGTGTTACCAAACTTCCATGGGTTGGGCTTTATTTTTCTTGGGCGGATTAATGCGTTGAGCCGGTGTTGATATTTTAACATTTCTCTCTTGAAACCTCTCTCTATAGATTCATATGCATACAGGACTATTGGACAAAACCCCATGCTTTTATTGGACACGAACGTAAAGACCATATTTTTTTATTGACCCCATGAATTGAATAGAAATATGAAATAATTGCTAAGCTCTGGCCTTAAATTCGAGACCTTGACGGAAGGAGAACAAAAATTATAGGCCTATATTATCCCCAGCCAAAAGGTACATCAAAATCGAACTAAACAATACTAGAAATTCGATTACAAAGGATCAAAATCGAACTGAGGTTGTCAAGTTGTCATTAGCTCTTCTCCAATTCTGATCTTGATACCCATGCACTTGGCAACATTGGATAATGCACAGGTGACGGAGGAGACATCAAAGCAGGGACTTGATAGGCCGGCTGCTCATCATGATTAGTATCTTCCCGGACGAAACATTGATTTTGTTTCTTATTAAACCCCATATATCTTTCCATAGAATCAATCTTCTTGGTTGCAACTTGTATCTTAGATTCAAGTAAAGCAATGAGCTTAGTCAATTCGTCCTGCGAAAAATCATCTATTCGATCGTCCCATGTCGGGTACTCCGCCTTAGAAATCTTCTTCCCTAAATTTTGAAACTTTGTCGGGTATTCCTCCTCAAAAATCTTCTTCCCTAAATTTTGAAACTTTTCGTTATCCTCATCCACGTGATCTTTCTTGTCCTCATAAAAATCAGACATATCAAAGTCTCTCTTCAATCCGGGCGTGGACGTATCCTTAGAATCCTTGTACTTGTTGAGAATGCGTTTGAATTGAGTCGGATCCCGCGGCCACGTCTCCGGTTGAATTGCCCTCCCCTTCTTTTGATCGGCTTCGTAGACGATCAAGCAAACATCAATACCACAAAGCTTCGAAAGCTCGTCGGCCTTTTTATATATACTCTTCTTTCGATTCCGAAAGGTCATCTTCCGAGTGCCCTCATTAGGTATGAGTTCTAACCTTCTTCTTCGAGGGGCCACCATATCTTCTATAATTCAACAAAACATAGAGAGACAAAAATTTTGATGTTTAGATTAGAAGAACCCAAGAAAAATAATAGTAGAGATCTAATTGGATCTAGAGACTCTGAACAACTAGAAGCTTCGTTGCAAAACTTTGATTTGAAAAAACAGAAAAAAGAAAAAGAAAACTAGGGTAAAAAAACATAACTTGGATTGTTTAAGTTGAAGAAAGTACATGTGACTTGGGTTTTTCGGAGATCTTGATATGAGAGTGAAGGTTGGGGTTGTGATTGAGTTTTATAGAGAAGGAAGGAGGAGGCAGTTAAGGAAACTCAATTCAAATGGGAATTTTTCTGGTTTTTTATTTAATTTTTAATATTTATAAAAAAGTAGTTTCCATATTTCATGAGGAAAACCCAAAATATAATTCTACAGTTTCCTATTTCTATTCCACCACGTCTGCTTTCATTCATTCCTAAGGTTTAGCCGTTCTCTTTCTTGCGGACACTTATTTGCGGACAGATAGCAGCCGTTGGATGAAATTGGACGGCTGGATTAAAACATGGCTTTTAATAAGGTTTCAGAATCGGTTAAAACAAAACCTATACACCCATCCTCCCAAACAAACCAGAGACCCATCCTCGCATAAGTCATATCATCTTCTCTCTCTCTCTCTCTCTCTCTCTCTCCCCCTCTTCCGTCCCGCTCCCACCTCTGATGTGATTTTCTCTATGCTGCTGATGGTCAAGCTCTGAAACTTGTAGGAAATTGAGGATGGTGTTGATTGAAGAAGAAAAGAATCGAGTGGAAAAAATATCTATAAAAATTGAAAATGGTCTGGAACCTATATTTAGAGTTATACCGCAAACAAATATGTCACTTAAC